CCCCAGCTTCTCATCATGACATACAGATTACTACAATGATAGGAACATGAAAAATTAAACAGGATCATGCTGCAAAAAGAAGGGATATTGAAACGTATACTACATTATGTTGTTATATTACTTACTATCATCCCACACAGAGGACGGCTTGCAACACTGCTTTGCTTGCTCTTGCTACTGTTGGCGTGGTGAAGTAAAGAAAACTCTCCTAAGTTTCTATCTCCTCTATTTTATGCCAGAATTCTTAATGGGCAGGAGCATCTTGGTAGTGGTAAAAGGATGGAGGAATAAAGCAGAAGGAGACTACAGAATAACCAGTCTTGCCACTGGAAGATTCCTCAGGGGAAAGGGTGTCAATATATAAGAATTATTTTAAAGAACAAAATTAATAAAGAGAAAGCTTACTGAACAGGGAGGAAGATGTACGAAACCCACATTTTGATTCTAAGAATATAAGAGAAGAGTCATTGCCCAGGTGTTGGATTCTGGCAGGTGCGTTAGGCAAACGGTGACCATAATGGTTTCAGCAATGATATGCCGAAGTAACTCCAACATGTTACAATTCCAGCAGCCTCCTCACAATATTCCATCAGTTATAATAAGGCTACCCAGAACAATTCTCCGTATATGCGCTGAACTGCAGTAAACAGTTTCCTAGTCTTCACTGGTTGATCTCTCAACGGGTAAGGTAAGTGTTGTCATTTGTGCTGAAATACAATTCGGACCAGAAAATATTTCAGTTCTCGAACAATTTTCTATTTATCTATTGTCTACTTTATTATCTTTTCATAGTCTATGAAATAAACTCCGCTGTTTTTGTTTTTTCTTTTCCAGCACCGTCACTTCATGAATCTGACGTGCCCCTGGCACAGCAGAAGATGCAGCACCCTTCTCTCTGAGCTTCTACTGTGGAGAGAGAGCCTGTTGCACTGCCCATTTCTCAGCTTCGTCCTGAACAAAACGTTTCTCTCTCTCTCTTAATCATTAGAACGCAGGTCACTTTGTTCTCAAAACAGCTGAGTTTGAGGACTAGCTGCAGTTAAGTGAAGTACGTTGGTCTCATTCAACATTACAAACAGCTTTGCTCACCTTGAGTCTCCAAGCACAATTTATCATCTGTTTCGTGAATCAAGGCTATGGCCTGGTTTACTACAGAAGTAACGACATCAGACTGGATAACCTATTTCTTAAAAATTTTAGCTTACGTTGGGCATAAGGTGTTTATGAGACGAACTCTTTAATAAAAATATCTGACAGGCTCTTCTATTAGAATAACTGCTTAAGGCTATCCACATCTAATATTGGCTGTAGAGAACATTAAAATATCTTTCACCACTTTTAGAGGGATGGGCTACATGAGAAGACAGATTACTTCAGATTCTTTAAAACAAAAAGTCTTCTCACTTATATACAAATGTCAGACATAAAAAATGCCAAGCTATATATAAATTTATTAATACTGAATAGATTTAATCACACAATAAAAAGCATATTTATAAAATAATGAATTAATTGAAAAAACAACAAATATCTTTTTTTACATTAGAGCACTGGAGCCTTTATCTTCTGCAAATATCTTACTATTGGCAATATACGTAGATTTAGGTTATTAATATCTTTTAACATATTTGAAAGGATACATTAATTTTTCTTTATATAAAATACATATTTTAAAATTTTTAATGGAAAAGAAATTCACCATAGTATATGTGTATATATATAGTATATATATATATTATGTATCTAATACATACATATATTATTCCAATGTCCTAAAATACTAGGAAAGTAATGAGGATTTAATTTTTCCAAAGTTTAATATCTTATGACTATATAATCATAATTTCAAGAACCACTAATGAGGAATATCCTTTCTACTCTGACCACAGGGGCACAGTTGACTGATTTTCTTTTTCTAATTGTTACTTGCAAAGATATAGATAACTTTAAAATAGGCAAACCACTGACAACAGGGCTCACCAAGTGCATCCATTCCTCCTCTAGGACATGAGGCCCCTGCATACTGCAAACTGTAACCGTGACCTCCACTTGGACCACTGCCAAGACCTGCCCTCATGGACTTCGCCTTACCAGGTTCCCTGAATCTTAGGTGAAACAAACTTGAAGCATCAGTTATTATGGTTATTTGGTATTGTTTTTAAGAAACAATCAATTACCACAAAACAAAAACGAAAAATCTATAATGAAAGAAAAGTAGGAAGGTTGGAAAGTTCCCTTTCGCACTCTATCTAAAACGTCCACCGTTCTTTGAGAATGCCCCTGGTTATTCAGAGTAAATGTATTTCTTTTTTATTTGCAGGGGTGAATATTCTGTTCCTTGAGCAACTGCACTGGAACACTCATTTATACAGCAAGGCTGACTGGAAAATGCTGGGCATGGGGTATAAATAGTTACTTATTTCTTAAATGTCCTGGTACTGGCAATTACGGGTAGCTCTTGCGATCCACGATCAAGTGACGTTGGCGCTATTTACTGTATCAAGTGAACTGGTAACAATAACAACAATAATGTGTGATTCCCCCATAGGATATGATCACAAACCTCTTGGAGGTATTAACTACATCCCTACTGCTACCTCACCGCCATCTGAATCCATTTCTTTTTTCACTTAGAAAAGTTACTATTCTCTGGATTAGGTCCGCTTTGTTGCCCTAAAGCAATATTCCTGTTGGGAACAGACTGGAGGATTCACATAGGAGCCTGCCAACCTATAAAGAACATAGACTGTGAAATTTGATTCTAAAAATAAATATCAATACGGTCTAAAGACATGTTTAGCTAATGACAAGGATCTTTGCTTCAATTCAGAAGAGTGATAATTTTCTCATAAATAATACAGAGATAGTAAAACACCAGGGCATTTAGTCAAAGCACACAGCATTATTTGATTTCTAACCACTGCTTTTCGTTACCAGAATCCTTTGGTACTCACCTTCATCCATGCCAAAACTATCTACTGAATATCTTGAATATAAAGAAAATGACACCAACATTTTCCCCCAAAATCACTCTTCTGAAAAGAGGGTTTTGTTTATATTGTGGTCTTTACCAAGACTCCCATTTTTCAGGTTCCTCTCCTATTCACTTTAACAGTCAAAGTACTCTTTGGAGAAGATACATTGGCCTGAAACAACCTCCAAAAAACTAGTTTGGGGGCTTTATGAAAGTCACCTGATAGAATGGGTAAAAAAACTAGGTTTTAAAAAAGTGTTTCCACAAATGGATGCAGTCATAAATAAGCCTTTAAAGAAACTTTTAATGCATTGCAATTAGTGCCTGGAGATCACAAAATATACAACTACAGAAAGAATTTTCGAAAATACTGCTCGAAGCCATAAATGGGTTCTTGGGGCTGGAGACAACATCTCCTGAAACATCAGCAATCAGATTCAAAAAGTGCTGAATCTAAACACTTAGATGGAAGTAAAAATATTTGCTCTGGAAAACTGGTAGATAACTCTAAATGCACTTGAGTGACAACAAAATTACTCATGTCAAAGGCATACATTAAATGTTTGAATTAAGTATTTTCATAAACTATAAGTTTTAAAAGGAAAATTTCTAAATCAATATGAGACTATAAACATTTACAACTAAATTAATGAATATTAGAAGTAATCATTAGAAGTAATCATTAAGAGGGGCCGGCCCTGTGGCATAGTGGTTAAGTGTGTGCACTCTGCTGCTGGCAGCCCAGGTTCGGATCCCGGGCAGGCTTCGACGCCCCACTTGTCAGGCCATGCTGTGTCCGTCCCACATAAAGTGGAGGAAGGTGGGCACGGATGTTAGCCCAGGGCCAGTCTTCCTCAGCAAAAAGAGGAGGATTGGCGTGGATGTTAGCTCAGGGCTGATCTTCCTCACAACCCTGAGATGAATTTATATATTCATATTGGCCAAAAAACCATTTTTGGATCTTTTCACTGGCCTTTTCCTTAAGACAGAGATCACCTTATTTCAGGGGCTTACAGTGTAGTGATCTCTATCTGTTCATTTTTTGAGGGAGGGTGAGGAGAACTCCTTTTTTTTAAACTAAGTTTATATTTTCCATCATTTTTGTAATATAAAGTGCTTAAAATCAAAATTCTCTTTTCCAAAGTTTAAGCTTCCTCAAACTCAGTCTCAGAAGTTCAGAAGTTACACAAATATAGTGTAATTGTTTCTATGTGGAAGAAAGAGAAGACCACATTCTAAAAGTATGAGATTAAAAAACTGACATGCAATACTGTGTCAACAGACAGAACTATGCTGTATAATATTCTTTGTATCCATCAATTTACTTGGTAAATAGCACGTCATGCAAGTGTCTATATTGTTAGTCAGTAAAAGGGAGTAATTTGGCAGTAAGTGGAGATTCGCCGTCCGATCAGACATTGGAATGTCTGGATTCCTCTCGTCACAGTCGAGCATAATTCAGGACAAAGCAGACATGCTTTGTTCAAGATAGTGAAGCACCAAGAAAATTTTGTATAAGACAGCGTCAACTGCAAAGTGGTCCATGGCCAAGACTTCGGTTACTGTTACAGAGAAGTGCCAGCCAGGTTGGCTCTCACACTCAGATTTAGGAATCACGTGGTCTATACTATGAAGAATGAAACACTGTCAGCACAGAGCACTGAGAGGGAGCGAAGGCAAGGAGTCGAATCTGTCCTTTGAGGTACTGTAGAAAAGCTTTATCAACAAATTAATTTAAAAATAAAGAAGTTGTGACACTAATTAACCACCAATATCTTTGAAAGCCAATCGTCTAGTACATTATCTAATCATAGTAAAATTATTTGAAAACAATTTTGTGAAAAATCTTCATTAAATGAAAAAACTGCTTGTCTGCATCTTTTATTCTTCTGTTACTCTACTGGAAAGACCACGATCGCTGCACACATGCTTCTACTTATGAAAACATGTTGCTTTGCCAAAAGATCATTTCAAAGCAGGAAATATATAAAAGCAAAAATGATTTAAAAATGAAAATGTTTTATACCTGAGAAATCAGCTGCTAAGAGATCGACTGCCTTTAAAACTTTCACTTGTAAAATGCCGATGTCCTTCATATCTTTCAGGGAGTTCTGTAAGCACTGGAGGGGAAGAAAAGTAGATCACAAATGAAAATAGTGTTCTAATATACTATTTAATACCATCAAGCCCTACAGGAAGTACATTCTAGATTTATCCTCACTTTTCTCATGTAATGCTTAGAAAAGTTCCAAAAGGCATTATATCAGTCAACAGGACAGTTAGGCATTTACAGCAACCAGATTAGAAGTGACTGAGAATTAATTAACTACAGCTTCAAAATAAACAAATTACAAAGCACGTGCAATCTACTTTTAACATCGCCCCCTGGTGATAGCACAGATATCCCACTGGGAAAATGTGTATGGAACTACATTCATTCTCTCTTTCCCCTTCTTTCTCTTTAATGAGACTTTTAAACCACCCAAAAGGCAACATAATTCCGACCTAGTTAGTGCAAACTTTATGGATACCAGAGGACTAAACTTGGACCCTTCATAGATACTTGTTACCACTAGAAAGAGAGGAGGGATGGAAATAGAGTGAATTTTCTGGTCCATGTTTTAGCCAGCTCATTATATTAGAGATTGAGCATCTAGTATCACCTGGTATTTATATTTACTTTAATTTTTAGTTTGCATGAGCCAAAGCTTGAATATATCCACTGATAATTCTTATGCATGTATAGCAATATTTAGATATCTATACACACTGCATCCTTCAGAAATTGTGCATGAAAGAGATAAGCAGATAAACTCTCTTCGCATGCCTCCAGAACGCTTCTGCTGAAAAAGATGTTGCTTTCAAACCTTTGGATATAGTATTTCCGCCATCATTAGATCACTAAAAATCTGTGATAATCCGACCCTAGAGATTTATGGAAGGATAGTAAAATCCTTATTATTTAGGCATTTCAGGAGAGAAAAACAAAAGCTTAATAACAGGTAAGGTTTGCCTAACCTAATATGCACCATTGCTAAGAATTTTTGAAAATTGTTTCAGCTCTGTATTTTCAACATTAAAAAAAAAAAAAACTAGTATTTAAGCTAAGATGAAAACATTTGAAATAAAACACTTCTACAACGTAGAGGTGGGAATGCCTTTGAAGATTATCTATTATTACAACCTAAAAAACAAATCAAGGGGGCTGGAACTTGTGTCTTGTAACACAGCCTTCCTTCCCTCTCACACGCTAGCCAGGTCACTAGCTGAAAAAAACACTTGATATTTCTATTTTGTTAGCCTCTTCAAACCTCTCTTCAATTAGTACTCCTCAAATCCTGAGGCATTATTCAAAGCAGTCATTACGATCTTATCTAATGTCACCTTATAAATACATGACATTCCTCATGAATTTGGTAAATTTTGCAATTTATCCATGGGAAAGTTTGGGAAAAAGCTTAATTTTTCACCGTCACATTTTCATTTGCTAACTAAAGTCATCACAGAGAATATGAATGGTGGAATTTGTTGAAACTTCTTTAGAATGTGCCAACCTCGCATGCAAAATCTGTGTTGACAATAAATGTGTGGCTAAGTTTCCTACTCCCAAAGATACAGAATTATTCAATTAATCGATACACCTGCACAGTGAAGAATTTTGGAGGCACTAAAGTTTATGCTGAGAATAACATTCTCATTAAATAGGGATTCATCTTTGCCTCATTTTCACGCCACTTTCCTAAAACATGCCTTTCGTGTGTGGCAATAAAATAAATGTATTGATTTACAAACAAGATGGGATAAAAACAGAATTCAAATAAAGACAGCTGTAAAGCCAAAGTACAAAAAATAAATGAAGAGGACAAAGCCATCTGATTTAAAAATGCTGAGTGGACTTTTAAGCACACTGTGACTACTTAGGCAAAAATCACAAACTGGTGTTATTATCCAGGGTGGACAGAATAACAGTCTCTGTGTCTGCCTAGACTTAGGCTTTGCTTTGTAAGACACAAGCATTTTCTCACTTGATCCTAAGAGGTTCTGGAAAAGTATAACATTGCAAATATTAATGGTTGGTAAAAAAAAAAATGCTATTTTTGTGAACACATGTTAAAATTCCTATTTACATATGCAGACATCTCAACAGTAGTTCGCCTCTTTGAGGATTTCAATTTTCCCCAGAGTTCCTAAAAGCTAAAAATTCAAAATACCTTCTTTGGCTTTTAATATAGCAAGGCAAACTGTAATCTACCTTCACCTTCTCACTAATGCATTAACCTCTAGGTCTGATGTCTTGTTTTATGAGATATACCATTAAACTTTGAACAAAGATCTCTTTTTATGCAGTGTTTCAATCATAGACTTTGTTTTAACTTAAAAGCGGTGGCGAGGGGAGGTGGGAGCAGCGTAATAGGCAAAGCACTCACGTATCGCTGCTCAATCTGCTTTCTTTCGCTGGGGTCTGCCAAGGGGCACACACACAGATCGGAGACGGAGACCCCCGCACAGGGAGTGAGTGTGATCAACATCAGCAGAGCCCCCAGGCAGCTCTCCAGCGGCAGCTCCAAGCAGTTGGCTTGCTTCAGAGGGAGCGCCGCGATATCCACTTTACACCTGGAAAAGTTGCAGGAAATGAGAAAGAAAAGTGATTAACTCACGGCCACTTTGGAACCCCCAAAGCACCTGATTTTTATTTCCTCGTCCCCGAAACCGCACTCTGTCTGGGCCTGGGTTTACTGAGCAGTGAAGGTAGCAGGTGCCCCCTGGCTCATAATACTTACTCCCAACCTAACACACTCTGAAATTAAGGATAGGAAGAGGTAAAGAAAATCAAAGAGAAGGAGGCAGGGAGGGAATGGCAAATGAAAAAAGAAGAGTCGGATCTTCGCCGAATAAGGTCTGCAGAAAGACGAGATCAAGAAATAGGCAGGAAAAAAGTTTCAAAGTTTAGGCGTTATGGATGAGGGCTTTGTACGGCTTCTCTGTGCTGTGTCTTTCACCAGGAAAAAGAAGAAAGGGTCATGGTTCAGAAAAAAGGAGAAAAGACAAGAGAAATGCAAGGAGAGGGTTAATGGAGAAACCATTTTCCTCCAGATTAATGCCAACTGGCGAGTTTTTATTTAAGAAACATGTTAAGGTGTTTTCCTAATAGGCCCAGTTCCACAGGGTTTCCCCAGGTGGATTTCTTTTGGACAAATGGAGCATGAAGTGCTGTTGATTGATCCCATTTCAGCAGCACTGCTAGGAAAGGCTGTACCCATCTGCTATAAATTGCATGTTTTCCGCCTCTTAACAGCCAATGTTCTGGCGATGTTGAAAATCTCAAACACATTTAAATACAGAAGCAAACACCAAAAAGGGGGGCTCAAGTGCTAAGCCATTTATGTGGTTTAACACTGAAAACTCTGGGTTTGCCTGGACCACACCTGCTATATTTATGCACAGGTGAGTAAAGGAGGCAGGGTCCAAGTAGAGAGAGGGAGGGAAGGCAGTGGTAGTTCCCAGATGTGATATGTGTGTGTGTGTGCGTTTGTGTGTTATTCTCATTTGCCCTCCATAGTTATTGAATAAGATGAATATTCAAGACTGTATAAAAGGATGGAAGCACTGACTTTCATAATGTGCGACAAGGATGGACTCTTACCCTAAATCTTCAATGGACTTTGTATGTTTGCAGAGAATTAGAAATAGGTGAACTTCCCTAATATATAAAGCAATGACAATTTTGAGACACATGGATATGTAAAAAGTTTTAATAAATTTTAAAGAAAGCTTGCAATCCCTTCCCAATTAAAAAGAAAAATAGCAATATTACTAAAAGTCTATACCAGTTTTTATTACAGAATAAAAAAATTTTAATACTGATGTACCTATAAAATTGAATTTATGTGGGTATTTATTTTCTAATTACCAAAAGTGATCCCAGCTACCAGAAAAAGTGGCAATTAAAGCTTTTACAAGTATTTCTACTGAAGACACATTACAAAAAAAAATCTTTTTCAATAATCCTCTATGATTTGAATCAAAACAATTCTTTTTCTGTAGCAAAGAAGAAAATTTTAAAGTTAAAATTTACTACTGTGAAAAGAAGGGTTACTAAATATTTTTATTTCATAAGCAAGTATGTAAATGGGGAATTACTTTTGCTTGAAAAAAAGGGAAGTCAAATGCTTTACCTCATTTCTACAAAACTAAGTACCCACGACTCCTTAACCAATATGGCAGTTGTACATTTGCTTAGAATACTAAGCATTATTTTACACTGTTGTATACACTTTCATTTAATGGAGCTCTTTTTTATGAGAAGATGAATGATTCCAATGTGTCAGAATATTCTCCGGTGGTCACTTTCATTAGTCCAAATTACCAATAATCTATTTATGGCACATTTATTTTAACATTAATAATGGCAATTTATTATTTATTTACTTTTTTGTGTGTGAGGAAGATCAGCCCTGAGCTAACATCTGCCAATCCTCCTCTTTTTTTGCTGAGGAAGACTGGCCCTGGGCTAACATCCATGCCCATCTTCCTCTACTTTACATGGGATGCCGCCACAGCATGGCTCGACAAGCGGTACGTCAGTGCGCACCCAGGATCCAAACCGGGGAACCCCAGGCCGCTGCAGCGGAGCGTGTGAACTTAACCGCTTGTGCCACCAGGCCGGCTCCGGCAATTTATTTTTGTCCTTTAAAAGTTTACCTTTTTGTTGTGATGGTGGTTTTATTCATTTTTTGAACAACTAAAAGTTATTTAAAGAAAAGAGCTCTGAGAACAAAAAATGTTTGGGAATCAAAATGATGCAGAATTAGGCAACAATAAAATTTTTCTGGGATAGTTCAAAATAGACCTGACTAATTCTAAGAAGTCATCTAAAAAGACTGTGAGCAATATGAGCCTATTTACAAAACTTTGCAAACTCTCCTAAAGGCACAACTTACTTGAACACAGCAGTTTATTATTTTAAACAAACGTTGAATCACATACCAGATGAAATGCAAAGTAAATATTGGGTTTCTTCTCAGAAATTATACATTTTCACAAACTTTTCAGTCATTTCCACCTACTGTGAAATTTTTGCACGTATCTTATTTTTAAATATTATTAGGATAATGAAGAAAGAACACCTGCATGAAAATGGCCCTGCATATTTTAGATAAAAGAGCCCCATAAACCACAGATTGGGGATTTCAGCACAATCTAATGGATTCTACATTCTCAGTTAACTAATGAGTGAATTCAGCCAAATACTTACTTTCATTTTCTTAGTAACTTGAAAAAACAAATTAAATTAATATATCAGCATCATATCAACCAAAATTAAAACTTAATCCTTTTGCACATGGGTTATGACCCAGCCTCTTAGGGTCCCTGCCCATGATGTGAATTGATGTCTTAAGTCTTAAGAACTAATTTAAAGGTACTCTCTCCCCAGTGTTAACAACTAGCTCCCCTCTAAAGATGACTTTCTATAAACTCTCTACAACTGACCTGCTCTCTGCATCTCTTCTCTATTTATTCCCACATTCCGGAGGAAAGAAGGAAAGATGGGAGTAAGAAGAAACGAACTTCATACAGAACCTTCTCCTCTAGGCCTCCCATTTTCCTCTATTTCAAGACCTGTCCACATTGCTCCAGCTCATCCTCATGTCTAAAGGTCAGCCAGAGGCTGGAAGAATTATTTGCGTTAACCTCAAACTAGGAAGGGGATTACTGTATTATCAGCAAAAGAAGTATAAGAAAATTTTTTTCTTTTTGGTGAGGAAGATTATCCCTGAGCTAACATCTGTTGCCAGTCTTTCCTCTTTTTGCTTGAGGAAGATTGTCCCTGAGATAACATCTGTGCCAATCTTCCTCCGTTTTGTATGTGGGATGCCAGCACACCATGGCTTGATGAGCAGTATGTAGGTCCACACCTGGCATCTGAACCCGCGAACCCTGGGCCGCTGAAGTGGAGTACGAGAACTTAACCACTACGCCACTGGGCTGGCATCAGAAATTTTTTTTAAAAAAGACTTTTTCAGAATTTCAGATACTTTTATTGCAATACTCATAGAACCTTCTGAAGAGAGGTAAGTATCACGTGAACAAAAAGGCTTTTTTTAGGTTCAAGTAAAGTTAAGTATTCTAAACTCTGTAAGACAAAAACATTCTGAAATATATTCATCAAAGGCATAATCTTGAAAGGAGAATCTGGGCTTCTTTTTCCATTTCCTATAGTGTACCAGATTCTACCCAAAGAAAATACTAAATAATTTGGTTGGTCTCTTAATTCTTTCTAGTCGCTACTGAAGCATTACAGCATCTGTTGTCTTTTCCAAAGTTTTCTTTTATCTGTTTAGTTACCTGCTAAGGGTGGAGTATAGGACTAGCCCCTGAGAAGGCCGAGGAGAAGAGATCCAGCCAGCTTCCCGGCAAAGAAAATACCCGCTCCTCCTCCCTTCTTTCACGTTCCCATAAACACTGCTCACTCACTGTCTGATTCCAGAATGTTACAGGTGGTGTTAGGTATTCTTTTCTCCTCCATTTTGTATCCCCTAATTTCTTCTCAAACTACACAAATGGAAACCTTTTATGAGCATTTATGTAAACTTAGCTTACTAGTGTGGATGCAAATTTTCCTTGAAAAATAAACTAAGTTTTAGATATGTGGTTTAAAAGGCTCCCATAATGAATTTTTCAATTATCATTAAAAATCACACCAACATTAATAAATGATAGGCACTTAGACCATTTTTTCTACGAAGGGTAAAGAAGTAAATATTTTTAGTTTATGGGCCATATAGTCTCTGTTGCAACTACTCGATTTTCCCCTTGTAGCATCAAAGCAGTAATAGACTATGTAAACAAATGAACCCAGCTGTTTTTCAATAAAACTTTATTCAAAAACAGGCAGCCATCAGGATTTGGCCCATGGGCCCTAGTTTGCTGACCCCTAACCTAAAGAAATGCTAATAATTTAGCTGTGGTGAATTACACCATTGGAAGTATTTAAAAATTTTTCAAGGTTAGTTGCTGACAATACAAACACACTGATAAAGATATCAGAGATATTGACCTAAGAATAATTTTTAAAAAATAACTTTTAACTCAACCATAGCCCAAGAAACTCTGGCCAACATTTCCAACAATGTTAGTTAATAAAAACTGAGAAAGCAATAAAATTTATAAAATTGCTCTTCTATCTGATAGAAACTGTGGAAAACACACGCCCAGAGCATCTATGCAAGAAATGTGATTAACGGGCATTACTGTATTAGGGCTGTTCCCATGGCATCGTGTGGGACCTCACATGCGGGAGAGTGACAACGTGTGGACAATGATTCAGAAGGTGCTACACACTGGCCCTTAGGTGACTGGGAAATTCTCATTCCCAAGTTGGATCTTAGAATATTTGGTCAATAAGAGCTCCACTGCGATAACAGGCTTTGTATCATGGAAACAAAATAGCAGAGTCACTCATGCCTTTGTGCCTGGAGAGGAGCTGCCATGGCTCATTTGCAGGAGATGGAACCCTATGGCTTTGTGACCTCACTCCTGCTCTCCTCTCTAGTCTCACCTCATGTCACCACCCACTCTTTTCACTCCTTTCAAATTTCTCAGAGAGACTGTGGTCTTCCTCCTCTCTAGCCCTTTGCCTATGTTGCGCTATCTTCGTGGAGAGTTCTCCTGCAATCTCCTTGTCAGGCTAACTACCACCCCTCTTACAGGTCTGAGCTTAGACCTCTATTCTTCCAGGAAGCAGCCCCTTCCACTCCCAAGCCACTGCCTGCTGACTTGCAGTAGCTCAAAATTTATGAGTGCCTGAGGAACGGATCCACATCTGTAACATTCTCCACTGAATCCTCAGCACTTTGCAGGCTGTCTGATACACAATGTGCTCTGTATTTGTTGAACAAAATGAACAAACAAACAAAAGAATGCCAGTGGCATAATGAAACTCAAAGGCAAAACATCCAAATTATAAAGGCTCTTTTTTATGTTAACTCACTAAATCCTTTGCAGTCTCTACTCTCCCTCCTGTATAAGAAAGGAATGGAAATAAATATATTTACTAGGTGCCTCCCAGATTGAAAAGTCCATGGTTCTATTCACCTGAAGAAAACAAGGACTCAATTATTTTTTTTCCCCTCGGCAACAGGCATATATTAAAGCTCTCCTCTCCAGCCCACAGGCAGTTAATGTGCTGATTTAGCATTGTTTCTGACCTCCTGTTCTTGTCTTTCTCCATTAATCCCACAGCATTTTAATGTTTTAATTCAACACATAATTTTACCATATCAGTCAGCCAAACCTGCTCAAGTTTCACTTGCCATGATAGCTTTTAACCTCTTATTCATTACCATAATTCTATGTTTTATATTACAGACTGGTCAGCTTTTAACTTAAATGCAAGGGGCAGAAAAGAGTGCTATAGTCTTAAAAGCTGTAAATCTCAGAGGCTAAGGAAAGGGGTGAACAGGAAGAAAACGGCGAATGTGTCAAGCCCGGCTGTAAAAGCAGATCAACGACATGGGGTGCAATTTGTCCAGAGGAATTTCCCAGCCCTGATTCTCCACTGCACTAATAAACTGGTTGAATGTCAGAGCCACTTTCTAAGGCACCACACGGGATAGAGGACTGACTCTGAGGCAGCCCAGTTAAAACAGGCTTGTGGACTCTCGTTCTTAACTTCTCCAAACTAAGTTAAGTCTAGAATATTCTATAAGTTAATCTCTAGAATCACTCTGAAATGTAAAATATATTTTAAGAAAATGATATGATTATTTTGAAATGGCACAGGTTTACAATGGGATAACCTATATTTATATGCTTGACATTTTGTTTAAAAGTTGGAGCAGGTTAAACTTAGCTTTATTTCTTACTCCCTCTAAAAGTTCACTGTCTCTGGACCATTGATCGACTCCAGGATCAGAAACTGTTTTTTTTTTTTTTCCTTGCCCATGAATAAACACTTAAGTTGGTGGGCACCAGGCTTCAGGGGGCATTGGATCTGCTCGAGCACCTTCCTCCCACCAGCTCATCTTCCTCGGGAGTTCCCTGTGGCTCAGTGGAAGCTCACAGATGGACCACGACACAAGGGGACTTCAGAAAGCTCCACCTGACTCAGGGGAGCCTGGAGGAGGCTGGCTGCCAGGCAGGGCCATATTTTAACCATCACCAAGCTAGCAACCCACCAATGACAACGTGATTTCTCTTAACATAACCGATCACTACTCCAGCTTTTTGTCTACAGCTACAAAACCCAGCATCGTTCAAGCTAATCTACACCACTCAATCCTTCGAGTCAATGAACGTCCTTCCACTATATCCTCAAAGATATACACTGCTCACTTCTACAAAAAATGTCTATACTGTTTTGAAAAAGCAAAACTATGCTGAATTTGACTAGTCATGTTTCATTTACTTAAATTGCATAATTTTAGTTGCAAATGTTGTAGGGATATATAATTACTATACATAAAAATCTCAAAATTAATAGTCATAATGTCTACTATTTGAGTGCTAAAAAAGACCTAAGTATCAAATAGACATTGTTGCTGACAGTCATGATGACCCTGCAAGTTGGCCAGTGACCCCATAACACAGATAGAGAGCCAGATTTCACCAGCAAATTTACTGCCCAAGGTCACACAGCGAGCAAACGGTGTGGTTACCAGCGACCCCGGAATGTGCAACTCAAAGGCTGGTGTTTCTTCTCTCATTCTCTGAGAATTTCCTCAGAGAAGCCAAGTAGAGCTGTAAATTACCAGCATCAAGGTGTTATCCAAAAACAAGATAGGAGACAGGCCTTAGGAGACAGTTATGACTCACTCACAGCATCAAGAGCCTCCTACTGCATTAAGGTATTTTCCTACAGCTGAGAGATAAATAACTGAGCCTTAGAATTGCAACAACAAGGAAAATGAAATGAGAAAGAAATAAGTGAAAACTTTAAAATGAGAAGGAACAGTAAGTAACAGGGCTGTGACATACATGTGCCAACACAATCTCTCCTTTAACTCTGAGAAGCACCATATTTTTTAGCGTAGGTTTCCCCCAACCTGGAAGTTCTTTGCAGGGTAATGCCGTGTAGCCAGCTCCCAAGACATACTTTTGTTATCTTTTGTACCTCAGGAGAGGAAAAAGGAAAAGGATACCAAAAAAATCCTTTAAATCCATGCAGAGGAAGGACAGAATGGCCACTGGGGCAGGTATATGTCTAAGTCACAAACAGGAAATAGCTAAAATAATAAATGAATACCAAAATGACAAAACATGGAATAAAAGGGACAGCTTAAATTATTTTTTGTGTCTGTAAAGAAACACTACTCATTTGGAAAAGCATTTCCTATTATGTGAAGGCCGCATGACAGCACCATGACATGTGGAATGAAAGGGCATTATGCTTTGCACCTACTAAAAGAACAGGTCGGCCATTCATCACCGGAGGCTCTAGTTCCCACCATTCAGATAATGCTCTGGGACACGGAGTTCTCTGCATTTGTACATTAATATAACTTATCCTTGCTCCACGGGCTAGCACAAAGTGTCTGATCCTCCCACCATGGGTGTGGGCAGGGCACTGGTATGGCACAGTGGTGACAAGTGTCGGAGGCAATGAGAAGTGTCTGAGGTGTCTCAGTCACCCTGTGTAGGTGGAGGAGGGAGAGACAAGACCAGACTAGTATCTGACAGGTGATATCTGTGAAACGCTTGACCACAGGAAGGCCTCCTGCTTGAGCTGGAGAGTGTGGCATGACCTAGTTTGCTCTCCGAAAGCACAAATCTAGCCTGGGAGATTGCCAACGAAGCAATGACTGCTACTTGCTAGATAACCATAGAGTTGGGGATGAGGGGGCCATGCAAAGCAATACAACCAGAGCTATGACACATGGAGGATAGAGTGCTGAGGTTTTAACTGGTGGCAGTGCTGCTCTACTCGGGGGTGTCTGGACATGCGTGATGGAATGTGGATGTGCTGTGTGTGTATGTGTGTTTATTTTCCATGCAAACATTGGGGAAAGTTACTGGCATCAGGTGGGTGAGAGCCAGGTTTGCTAAACATCCTGCAACATCCCAGACAGTCCCATGCAACAGGGTCCCTCTGTTGAGAAACACTGGAGGAACGTTCCATGAGTACCAAACTCTCCACCCACCTATCTCAGGATGAGCCACTGACGTGGGAAGGGTGATGCCAGCAAGAAGAGCTAACACCGCGCCAGACACTGTGCTAAGTATTTTACGTAGAAAAATCACTGCACGAGGTATTGGGTTAGCTGGGTCTCATCCCATTTCTGCCTCTAAATTCCTTGCTGATGAAAAACACGTCACCTCCCTGGGCCTCTACATTTCCTCCTCTGTAAAATGAAGGGGTTTTATACCAGATGAGCGTTTTCAATCTTTAGTTTTCAGCAATAAACTCTCCCCTCAAATGGAACCCCAAGAGAGAGCACAGCTGAGATGCTCTGGCCCCAGGGGAGAGGTTTTAGGAGACCCCCCATTCTCCAAGGAGTGACCCCAAGGCACCTCCCTGACCCCAGGGTTCCAGAGAACTTGGTTTGAAAAAGACGACAAACAGCTGTTGAGGGTCATTTAAACACTTATGTTCTAAATTTAAGGTTTGTATAAAAATTGTATGTGTACGGGATGAACAAAAGGCAGAAAGAACTTGGTCTTTGAAAACACAGACTCTTGACCCAGCACTCGCTGCTCTGAAGTCCATGGCCAAGTTGTTTGTAAACCTCTTGCACTCCATGTCCTCATCTATACAATGAGAAACATGCTGCTAACTTTCAGGGCTATTTGAAAGATCAGAGATGATATATGCTTCCACCAGCATTTCCCTCATGCTCACTATGGGCCAGCATAATCTCATGTAACTGTATTCTTACAACAGCCCTATGAGGAAGCCATAACTCTCACAGTACCGTTCGTTATGTATGGGTGAGTCCCTCAATTAAGCTGCGATGGTCCAAAGTAAAGAAACGAAAGAAAACAGATCTGGCCTTAATAGATGTCATTACGGTTTGCCACAAAGTTCATCAAGGACACTGAAAATTCTCCATCATTTTGGGACACCTAGCTTTATATTCTTACTAAATTAGATGGTATTTCACTAAGTACCAAAACCAAAAGTATAGGGTATATCGGAAATTTATATAAACATTTCCCAAAGAGTCTGAGATGGTACATTATCTTTCTCAGAGAATTCCTGATGCATACTGTTTTCCTCTGTTTTGATCAAAACTAAATGACATTTACCAATTTAAAAAAAAAAGATTAGGGTTCAGCTTCTGTATGGCTCCCTGGGGTGGGGACATGAGGTTTTACTCCAAGCCCAGACAGGTCAAGACAGTCTCTCAGCCCAGCCTCAGGCAGAGACAAGCTCTGCATAGTACCACCCCCCCGCAGCCCCCAGATTAGAAAGCAGAGCAGACTCACGTGCCCAGACGCTCCTCGTGCTTTTTGCTGTCCTTTCCCCACACTTCAATGTCCAAAATGCCCATCCTGTCAGAGAAGTAGTGAAAGTCAAACTGTTCCCGCCACTGCGGATTTGCACTCTTACACAGTGTCTAGAAAACATGCAGTTATAATATTTATTTTCTTAAAATGCCATTCATTGCTACAGCAGCTACACATTCATTTCATTTCTACACTGCAGGAGATCACGATGTGCCTCTCCCTTACAAAGTTCAACTTTCCTTTTTGGAATGAAAGAGACTTCGAGGTTTCGTGAATTGCAAAACATCACTAGTCCTTTAGCTCATGGCCAGATTCAATCATTTATCCACCAAGTTAGAAAGAATACCATTACCCCACAAGAAACCGTAAATTATATTTATATATGACATATCTCAATAGACATTTTACAGTTGTTCTCTCTTACAGAAGTTATTACTATTAGTTAATCAAATGCAAGTAACATTTTTATTGGCACGCCCATTCAGTGCTGGCTTAAGAACTATATAAATTAACAGTTTGGGGTCTTAATTAACATCTGTCAGATGCATTACATGAGAAACCCATAACTTGTACGTTGCTGCCTATTTTTAAATCTGAGTTTACTGAATCCAGGCACTAGAGTGACAAAAAGACTAGGAAATCTCACTGCAGCCGAACTTAAAAATTAATAAGCATCGTTTGAAACATCCACAAGTGTTTCTGTGTTCTCCAAAAGTGATTTCAAACTGCTTATGTGTTTGATTCATTGGCAAGACTTTCATTTTTGTTTTATTTATGCAGAGATTCAATTTGTGAATAAAAAGTGAGCAAAAATGCTGGCCACTGAGTATCAGGCTCGAAGGGCACAGCCTCAACTATGAAATCCTGGCGCCAATCACTCCTGCACGGGAAAAGGGACCACTCAGACCTCAGCTGTGGCCCACCTCACGTAACATCACTTAAGCTGTTTGTCACATTGGGCGTACTCTAACAAATCACAGAATTTAGAAACCACAAAGAAAAAAAAACCTGTTAGACCACAAATTAAATGCAATACTCCCCAAAGGGGAATGTAGGAGATATTGGACTAATTCTACACTTCACCTTAGTCCAAAACGCTAAGTGCGCTTAGTGATGAATAATTTTTCTATAAATCCTTAGCCTGACCCTGGCTGGCTAAAGGAATCTTAGTGGAGAGATGTGGTTACCTTGGATACACTCGCTGTGAAGCACAGCCTGAACTACCTGGTTAAAATAATTATCTGCGTATTTCTGCCATAAGTCGCCCTCAGTTTTTCGCATTTCTTATAAACGATTCTTCGATGTGAGCGTCGATTCTCTACTCATTGTGCTGGAGTAAATGATGTTAATATTTGATTCTGCACTGAAAACTGTGCCGCAGAGACAACCTCTTATCTCTCTAAATCATTTTCCAAGTTGTCTGCATCTGTTATATTCTCTACTCTGAAAAGCCTGAGCTGCAAATATCCTTGAGTCTATTTTCAAAATCTTCCATTGTTTGTTTTTTCTGTGTGGCTTTTGACAAGTGACTTAACTTTCAAGTACCCTAGTTCCCTCAATCCTAAAACATAGGAAATATTCTTGTCTGACAGTTATGTAAAACTAATTAATTACCATGGTTTGGAGACTATGGTTTTTGAAATAAAAACCACACCAAATTTCTAAGACTAAAAATTAAATGGAATTCGGATCAGCAGAGTAAGATGACTGATTTTTAAAGAGAGCTAAAAATTCCATTACTTTTGTTCAAAACAAACCACTTTTAATACTTTTGATAGTTTATTTCTTAAAAATCACAGCAAAAAAACCAGCAGCACTAGATGTCTATTTTTGGTGTTAATACTAACAAGAGAAAGCAAAGAGTAAATAATTTTTAAAATACTTTAGTTATCTCAAATATTTTTATCCAATTATAATATGCTATTTTATTTTTGTAGGATTTTGAAAACATTTAGTTATCCTTTTCCCGCATTGTGTGAAACATCGTTTGCTTATTTTCAAAATGAAAATAAATTATGCATTCAAATCTATTTTAATGTTTTCTCTAGCTCTAGTTACTATATTAAAATAAATTATACTAAGCAATCAAATGCCCATATTAATTGACTACATCTATACAATTATTTTGTTTTCTGGGATGCTCCTAATATAATCAGGAGGATTAAAAATAAATTACTTTTATTTTTTGAAACATAGGGTGAGAAAACATTGTTTCAGTTTTTTTCATTCTTAAAGATATTTTTCTCCTTAAGGAATTGACAGAACTTACCTTACTTTTATACCTCTGATCTCCCAGTTTTAACTGGACAAACATCTCTGTCATGCTTCCTCCTGAGACATTCTTCCCTTCCAACAAAGTTATACTTATAATGCCGTTCCAGAGTTGGTTCTTTTTCAAGGACTCTGAGAGCCGTAGGTTGCGTATCAGAGAGGACTAATACAAAAAATAAAGATGACATATCAACTTGCTGATAATTCTTGAGTGTGAATTTGGTGATCACAGGAATTCCAGCTTTCAATATTTGGTTATAAATAGCACTCTCTGCCTGGTGAAAGCATTATTATTCTTCACTGGTTTTGCAAACCTGCAATCACAGTCACCCGATTTCCTTCCTAAGCATTGGACTTGTAACAATATAGCGAAGGATGGATATGAGCAACACTTGCATTTGGCACTGGCCTGTACTCCCACCCAGACACGCTCTTTGGTAGGAATCCTTCAACTGGCCCTTGGCTATTTTAATAGTGGGAAAGGAAGAAAGGCATTCTGGGAAACAGAGATATAAGAATAAGGCATTGCTTTGCAGGGAAACAAAATACCTCTGGGCATTTAGAAATAACGGTTTTGAATTTTGGTTTGCATTATCCTTCACACTTGAATCTGCCCCCACTTCCCTTTATTCCTTGGGCTCCTACTGAAACGCCCAGCACCACAGTGAGATTCACAACTCCCGATACAGCCTTATAATCAGCTAGCCAGTCAAATGATCTTTGCAGATCTTGGGGGAGGGGAAGGATGTACAAAGTACATAGCACAGTGCCTGAAACCCAGTAGGGGTTCAGTAACTGTTAACTTATTTTTTTTCCTTTTCTAAATTATATTACTCACGCACACTCACACACATCTTAAACAGAATATAGACAAAGGCCAACATCTCCTATTATTAAATTATAAAGAGGACAAGCACATCTTTTTTTTTTTTTTTTTTTT